ATGATTTGAATTTCTTTCATGGACATTAATTATAACTAGGATATCTGCATGCATGTAAGATTATTGTAAAAAGTAGTTTATCATTCCTAGTTATGCTTATGAAATAAACTAAATTTTCGCGATCAATGAAATTGATAACCGTCTGATTACACATATTCATTTCATTATGTCGCATTTTTTGTTATCATTATCAGTTCTTGAAAATCCGAAGTAACACGCCCACAACAATAATAAAATTGTATATCAATACGAGTATTATAAATCGTGACTCGATTAAGCACATATAAAATCCTCAGGTTTTTTTCGAAACACATTGACCAATATAATAATATGCTTATAGTTTTATGAAAAAAGTTACTGTGGAATGATTTTCAAGCTGATCTTCTAGATAATGTAACGTAATGCACTCAAACATAATACAAACATTTGTCAATCGAGATAAATTAGCACTTTGAGAGACGATTTCTTTCAACTAGAAGCGAAATAATCGATTTTCCTGGTTTCAATTGCTCACTTATGAACTCTAGATTTCACTGTTTGACAGAATTCATCAGACTCATTATGACAAAGTCAATTTTTCTATAATTCTAAGTGATCGAACGAATCTCAGAGTTATCTGTCAAAAAACGATCGTTTTTTTTACAAACAGAGATGATGATAAATTTTTTCCATATATTAGATCAGATAATCTATTGGAATGGACAGAATTGGGCTAGATCCTGTGCCTTCCACGGAAATAATCTGTCTCATGTGGAGATTTCAGCAGAACTGTGTGGTGGAAAATGCTCGAAAACTGCACAATGCACTCATTATACATGGACAACGTCGAATGGTGGTACTTGTTGGATGAAAAAAGGAAATGTTTCCAAGGCTGATGCATCACCGATGAATGATACAAGTATGATTTGTGGGGTTAGAGAAGACATCCAACAAGGTATAACGGATAACACTGTTCAATGGAATGGACAGTATTGGGCTAGGTCCTGTGACTTCCATGGGAACAATCTATCTCATGTAGAAATTTCACCGGCGCTCTGTGGTGGGAAATGCTCTGAAACTCAAGAATGTACTCATTATACATGGACAGCGGCGAATGGTGGTACTTGTTGGATGAAAAAAGGGAATGCTTCCAAAACCGATGCATTTTTAACAAATGATCCAACTATGATTTGCGGTGTTAGAGAAGACATCCAGCAAAGCAAAAGGAATTCTACCGTTCAATGGAATGGACAGTATTGGGCTAGGTCCTGTGCTTTCTACGGGAACGATCTGTATCATGTGAAAATTTCAGCAGAGCTATGTGGCGAAAAATGCTCGGAAACTCCACAATGCACTCATTATACATGGACAACGTCGAATGGTGGTACTTGTTGGATAAAAAATGGAAATGTTTCGAAAGCTGATGCGCTTCCAACGAATGATCCAACTATGGTTTGTGGTTTTAGAGAAGATATCCAGCAAAGCAAAAGAAATTCCACCGTTCGATGGAATGGACGGAATTGGGCCATGTCCTGTGACTTCCATGGGAACGATCTATCTCATGTGGAAATTTCAGCGGAGCTATGTGGTGGAAAATGCTCGGAAACTCAACAATGCACTCATTATACATGGACAACGTCGAATGGTGGTACTTGTTGGATGAAAAAGGCGAATGTTTCGAAAGCTGATGCATTCTTAACAAATGATCTAGCTATGGTCTGTGGTGTAGTAATGAGTATAAAACGTCGAGCTATAAAGTTTTTTTGAATTTTTGCAATCGGCTAAATGATGTTAATTGTTGAAAGCGTATGATTCTATCTTAAAAGACGAACATTTTATCGAAAATATTTCGATTTCACATTAGTAAAGCCGTAACGTTCTCAAAATAAAATATGAACCTAAAATTTTTTGTTCTAGCGGAGCTTAAATCTACTCCATGAGGTCCATGGTGACAGTCGATAAGTATGAGATTTTAGCCTAATCACAAACAGCGCTCGCTAAGTTTTTTTTTAATAGATTTACGAATTATGGCAATTGAATGCTATAGTTTTTTCTTTGAACAGATTGTGAAAGTGAGATTCTAACTAATAAAAAATCAAACAAAAGTTTGAAAATGTTATCGATCGCCTATTTGAAGCGACTACGGATTTCCAAATCTACCTCAATACACTAAAACCTCTCTATAGTAGACATGCTTCGGACTTCTCAAAATTGTCTACTAC